GGGGGGGGGGATATAACCACAGTATTGTAGTGCTTTCTTTCACAGAAATATTACTTTACGAATATATTTTATGGAAACTTGTATTACAGATGTTCCGATTTAAATGTAAATATGTTAAAATGTAACAAATAATATAATAGGAAAAAATATAAAAATACGTTATTATACCAAAATATGTAAAATATTTTGGTATAATTTCTAATTCATTCAGGATGACTTGCAAACTCAAAAAATTACGGAATGGTTTTTTCAGTACGTGTAAAAATAAGTGATTAAAATAAATTAGTTCTCTAATAATATGGTACTAGTTCATTTTCATTAAAATTTCAGAATGTTTTGTAAATTGCAAATTTTATTCTCTCATGTCGCAATATTAAAATATTACATAACCGTTACCAATAACATGAAACTGTCTAAGAAGTTCCCTGTTGTAGCACCACTAGTTAATAATACTTTCTTGCATAGTAAGAGTGCACGGAAACTTATGTAAAACCTGATTTTATGGTCCCCGGTAGCAAAAAGGTGGATTTTTCTTGTTATTATAAGTAGTAAATTTTATGTCCCTCCATGAATAAGGCTAGCAACTACACCATACATAGGATTTTCACCAAAATTAATTTTCCCTGACCAAATTGGCTGATGTCATTGCCCACTTGAATTTAAGGGAGCAATGACATCAGCCCCCTTCAAATTTTTATATTGGGAGGTATTCTCCATGAAGCCTCAATAACACTTTCAAAATTTTTTCTTGAAGTTTTTTCTCGAATTCAGCACAGTACCATATTTAACCGAATACAATTTACTTAATACATTAGTAAAAGAATGTGGGGTTATCTTACATTCGAAGATGAAGCGTAGTCTGTTAACGTTTCAGTTTTTACATCGCCATTTTATGTCCCAAAACTCATAAATTTTGGCATAACAATAAACTGCGAAGATTGTAAAAATATTACACGTATCTACAATAATTATATTATTTTAAATAATTATGATGATTTTAAGAAACAAGAAAATGATAGTTCAGCAATAAGTCTTATTATTCTCATCAATAAGGCAATTTTCTAATCAATAAGACAAATTCCAATTTTATCTTGACTAAATAATAAGAATTTGTTAAAAATATAAAAAATTTCCAGGCCTCTTCAAAATTAGGGGGTCATGTTATATTCCGAGTCGACTTACATAAGGGTAAATAGGAAACTTTTTCAAGTTCCATTGGAATGTCTTAAATTTTCAAAAATTACCAATGTTCAATTTTCATTTTTAATCATTGGGAATGTAAGTCTAATATATCTACCAGTTGGAGTAGCAGTAACTTCAGTGCTCGCAAAATCCAAGTTCCTTTATGTGAATCCAAGTGTAGGTAAACATTTTTTGCAGGTTTGACTAGTCTTGTAATATTTCATAACAAATACAAATAATATGAGATATGTGCTGTTGTATCACCAACCACCATTATTTTTATAAAGCATTTTATTAATCCAGAAAAATTTGTTTCAATACTATTTCATAGAATTTTTGTTTTTTAAATTTAAGGTCGCATCAACATCTAGGTCATTAGCAACCACTGTCACATTTAATGGTATGGTAACACCATATCAAGATGACATGATATGGTGATGACAGGGGGTGAAAGGATAAACACAATTACAACCAGGCCTGAGGCGAGACACGAACCCACAATACTTCAGTTCAAGCTTGATAAGTCACTACTGCCTTAACGATCTCAGCTATCCGTACCAGCTTGATATTTCTTGTTAGGATGTTAAATGAAACTTATGGGATGAAAACAAAATACTGTCAGAAGTTTATTTGCAAGGAATCTGCACGGTATGTGTACTTCATTTCTTAAAATTGGTTGCCAAAGTGACAAATGTATGTTTTCAAAAGTCATTTAGCCAACCTTATGCTGATTGAGGTGCAGTGTGACAATGACAATGAATGGGGTGAAGTTAGTATAAATTGTGAAAAATGAAGAGATGTTTAGAGCACTAGTATTGCCTTCCCAAGATTATTTGGTTTCTAAATAAAAGTTGTGAATTTACATGCTTTTATGTAAATAAGGACGGCAACAGTCTTCAAGTAACTTTGAAAATGCATTGGACAGACTCAATAATGTTTTATGGTAATCCTGCAGACTCAAGGCAGTGGCTTCATCATGAAATTGGACATGCCTAGTGAAGCGTCACTGCACCAGTTATGTATGTAATAAAAGTACAATTTGTACAATGCCTTGGTGCTCATGGGTGTTCATAGTACATGCAAACACAAATACACTATTTCTGTTATGTTGGGTAAATCAATCCACACCTCACTTATAAAATCTTAGAGGTTGGTTCTGTGACAGAGGATAAGCAAAAAAGACATGAATTCCCAGCAAGTAAATTATATCCCTGATACTAAGTTTTATCCACATTTGTAGATAAATGAAATAATTTACACATATTGTATTACCTGCCATAATGGTTTTCATTACATCCACTTGTAATTCAAATACATGTCTCTGAAGATACTGTAAAAACATATCAAAAGACAATGTTTGATAACCAAGATAAGTGAAGAAAGAGGTAAATCCTTGTGGTAACGGAAAGGCCAATGAATCTACAGCAAAGTAAAATCTCTCGAGCATTGAGAATAACACCTGTCTTCTTCCTTCATCCAACTGATCACTGAAAAAAGGAAAAAACATTTCATGGATTTTGTACAAATCATCTCAATGGAAACAATTAGAGTAATTGGCATTACTTACATGAGAGCAAAACCACGCTCTTGCTCTTCGTGTGGGTCAACCGATGCACACTGACATAGAATGAGACACAACTGTTTGCACATTTCAAGTTGAGCAGCAACATAACGGGTAGCAACAACATGCACATTCATAGGAGTTTGCTTGCTACAACTCTTTAATAAATGCATGCTTAGTTCACGCAAATTCTGAAATGATCAGAGGTATCCAAAAATTAAATAGAAACCTTAAATTTAAAAAAGTATGTCAGTACATGCTAATTTTCATTAATTCATTGCTTCAAACAGTTTTTAATTATACATCAACTTGATTAGTCATTATGCACAAGAATGGCAGTTATTTTGATGTAATATAATGTACTAAAAATGGGCAATGCTACTTTGAAACACTATACAACAAAAGAAGTAACAAACAAAATTACCACTGAGATGACATGTTCTTGCTTGCTTGCTGTGCAATTTTCCACTTCATAAAATGGCAAATCTCCTTTTCGAGAGCCAGCAATTGCAGCAAGGTCAGCTAAAGTCCCAGAACCAACAAGACTAGCACCAGGAGATAAGGGAGTACTTGACCTAGACAAAGCTTCCGGCTATATAAAGAAAAAACAGAAATTAAACAACAAGTAGGAGTACTTCACATACGCTAAAAACTTATAAGACAATATTGATAAATAATAATAATAATAATAATAATAATAATAATGATGATGATGATGATGATGATGATGATGATGACGATGACAGCCATAATAATATGGAAGAACAAGTAGCAGTAGGCAATGATTAAATCTGAGTTTGGATATGGTCATCTTATGTACGTAGTTGCTAGGTGATGAGGTGGCAGAGACAACACAGTGAAAGTAGTGATTCCTACAACTCCATATATTCTTGTATTATTTGCAATGTTTATATAATATTATAATTCTAGTTGAAGTTCCAGAAAATCAAGTATCTTATCTATTACACCACCAGTGCTGGTTAAGTATACCAATGCTCTTAATGCAAAAAAAGTTAAACTGCACTTTTCAAATTTTCAGAGGTTTTAATGAAAATCAGACCTAAGTCATACTAAAAAGCACACTGCTCTATTTGAGCAACAAATTTAAAGAAAATAATCAAGCAACAAAATGGTAGAGACATTCTCATACTAGTTAGTAACTTTCTCTTGAGTTGGGGGAATATAAGCAAAAACAAACAGCAAGGAGAACTTGTTCAAGAACTCAGAACCAAAGGCCAAGCGTGCTGAACATCTTCAAAGGAGTGTGAACAAAACTAATAAGTACATATAATTTTCATCTTTCATGTACAAGTCCAAGACTGTTAGTAAATTTTAAGATTATTAGTAAAACAAGTACTTAATGAACAAGTTAAAAAAGGCCATAGTAAACAGATTTTCCAATACTAAAACTAGTATGGATCCAAGCGTGTGTAAAAGGAATAATTGTAATAATGATGTATGTGTGACAATGAATTTATTTAGATACATTTTTGGTAAGTGTTTAAAGTCACAGTAAGTAGGTTGTGTATTTAAAAATCAACTCAGAAAATATTATTTATGAAAATAACATGAGACATTGTTGAGTTACTGTAATAAGTCTAAATGTATGTGTTGTTATTTCAAAATATTGATGAGAATTAACCACAATATTAATTTTTCCCAAATATTAAAAATTTACCTGCCGAATCCTCGAATGAGTGGTAATTTTCAGATCCATGAAACTAAGAAATTAAAGACGCCCTAAGAGAAGTGTGTAAGAAAATGACGAACCTGAAGCAGAGAGTATTGTTGGGGGTAAAATTCAAAACTGGGCTAGCCAAAAGAAAATAAATATTAATCGTCAGAAATATTTGTATTCCTCATTATTTTTAATTAATGAAGAAAATTGAAGTAGTATTTCAATATTATGTTTCTCTACAAGCGTACGTGTTACGAATGACAACTTTTAACACAGATTTTTTATCCTCCTCCTAATAATTTAGGCAATTTTTAACGTAAGAAAAAAAATAACTTCCTTTCTTGTCACTGTCCCAAAAACGGGATAGCTTTATTTAAATATTTGGAAAATAATTTTTGGAGAGTTTCGCAAATAAATATCATAAAGAGCATAAATTAAAACAAAAACTAACACACATTAATTTTGGAAAGTAATAAATTAATTCTCTAGTCTTTGTGGGTTCCGGTTAAGATGATGGATTGCTAAGACGTGTGATCAAAGATGGAAGAAATCTGAAATAAGAAGTAAGAAGAGAGATTTTGAAGGAAAGGAGAATTGTACATGGAAGCACCAGCTACCAACAAGTAAGAAAGATCAGAACCAAAGGAAATAGAAAAATGAATATCGGAAAAGCCAAAGGTGAAATAAACATGTGAGTATTAAATACTAGAGTCAAATATCAAGTCAGGAAATGGGTAAGGATAGCAGCACTGCAGATGACAAAGACCCAAAGTACACTGTCAAAGAGATGACAATGAGATGCAACTCTTGTACAGTTACTGTACAAAAACAATAAAATCAAATGTGGGGAAATATGTAAAAGGACACTCCATACTGTGTGTGGGATTACCAGAGAGAGATGCAAAAATTTTACAAAAACACAGACCAAACTAACTTGCCTATTTCAATATCAAAGATAATACACAACTTATTAATGAAACCCAGGATAAGAAAATGGAAATGGGTGAGCTAAGACAACAATTAACAGTTATTCATATGATACTAACAAAACTTCCATCAGAAATGAAGCACTGGATAACACAAGAAATAAAGCATACATTGAGAAATAACATGAATCAAACAGAAAACCCAGAACCGATAAACAAAGGAAGAATGAAGTACGGCCCATATAGAGACTGTAATCATCCAACAGAATGGGACCACTAGTAAGAAAACGGAGGACAAGACATGGAAATAAGTAGAACTGGAAACACTTGACAAACCAGAAAAAGAACCAGAACATCCCCTAATAAGCTCCCAGATGTCCAAAACACAGAATGGAAATGATGTAATCCTGCCAGAAGAAGTAACAAGGGAAGAAAAGGAACAAACAGAAAAGAAGACAAGTGAAAATGAACAAACAGAAACCAATAAATGGGTCGAAGAAATAAGTCTGGTAATTAGAGATACCACAGAAACAACAGATACCTTCAAGGTTAACAAAAAAAAAGGTAGTGGGATCAATACCAGCCCAAGGTCCATTCAAAGCAGGTCAGAAAACTGGCTGGTCATTCATAGGAAGCGTCAGTACCAACAACAAAGAGGAAGACATTACAAAGTATCTACAGGAAAATGGAATAATTGGCACAATCTTGTGCGAACAGATGCAAACAAGATACAAAACTAATAAATACTTTAAGTTAGGAGTGGATTTTAAAAAGTTAGAAACACTCGAAGATTCAGACTTTTGGACCTAAGGAGTGATAATACGCTGGTTTGATTTCACTTTCACCCAAGAGAAATTAAGACAGCAAATTTTCAAAAAACCTTCCATAACAAAACAAGACAACACTAAGAAAGATACGACTAACACCATGCTAAAAGTTGGAACATGAAACATGAGGGGATTAACTCACAAAGAAATGGAATTAAACATGGAACTTAGGAAAAGAAAGCTAGACATAACTGTCATTACTGAAACGAAAAAGAAAAACAGAGGTTCTAAAGAACTAGATCATATTATTTTTATTCTGGAATAGAGGATGAAGAACATGATGCTTTTACAGATTCTCACATGTCAAGTCCTTTACCGATTATGGTAATGGCACAAAGGGTCTCAATACATATCTTTGAATGCTGTTGTTTTCCAGAGAAGGAAGGTAGCAGGTCACCAATGTACCAAAAAGGATTAATTTAAAATAAAGTTTTGGAGAAATTCCCCTTATATCCTAAAGTGGGCAATTTTTGGAAAATGCCATAACTGCAAGTGGTATTGTAGGTCATACCTAAGCCAAAAAAGATGGCTACAATGTATTGTCTCATAGCAAATGAGGTAAAGATTTGTGTGGCCAGTCACGTCAAAAGTTGATTGCTGACATCTAAACTCACATTGATTCTGATTTACCATGTTCTCCAACATCTTGCACAGTCAAAAGCTTGTTAGCTTTTGCTTCTTTTGGGACTGGGATAATGATGTCTTCTTTAAATTGAGGAAAGATGAAATGCTCTTTCCAGATAGTTATGCAAATGGAAAAGATATGACATGGCCTTCTCAGGAAGATGTAACATTTAGTTGTGGATTTCATTGTGTCCTGGAGGACAAGTGTTTGCAAGTGTGAGAGTAGAGTACAATTCCAGTAAGAAGAATGTGGATGCTCTGCAATGATGTTCAGATCCACCATATGTTCTTAATGTTCCTTGTGGAAAAGGGGGAGGGAGAACTTGTTGCTTTCATATGGATGTTAATTTTATCCCTGTGCTTCCTAACCACAGTGGAGTTCAAAAGGGCACCCCACTGGAGTGCCAGGTTATCACAGAGATATAGTGGAGGTTATCATAGCATTACCCAGCCATGACTCCCCCAGAAGTTTGGAACAACAGGGAGCAAGAGGGCCACCCATCCAGAAGAGGTCGAGACCAAAGGTTGTTTTTGGATGCACAGTACACGCCTCCCCACAGTCACTAGTACTCATAGGAGTTCTCATAAAAGACATTGTTAGATGTGGTCTACCTTTGAGATTCCAACATTAAGATGGCATATGGTTAAGTATGAACACACCTTCAACTCCCACGTCATCCATTCCCTTTGACATGGATTGCAATGCATAACAAACACAAGGATGAACATTCAGCATGCAGAGAAGGCCAATGCAGAACAGAAGATGATAACAGAGTGAAGGTCACACAAAATTGAGAGTGGAAGATGGCATGAAAGCCTTTTCTGCAAGCCCACACCAGAACATATATATAGTAAAAACAAATAAAGTAAAAAAAAGTAAAAATAAATAATTAACTAAGGTCAGGAAAGAAAAATAAGAATCAAAAAGTAATAATTATATAAATTACCTGGTAACAAACAAGTGAAACCATGAGCTTGTCGGCTACCTGACTAGGTTGAAAACGAATTCGTTCTTTATTAGCCCTTCGTGCTAACTGATCCCACAAACGTGTCCACATATCCACACTATATGGTACTAGCCGTTGTTGAGGAGAAAGTAACATCATAGCAGTGTTCCACAAAACTTCGTGGGATAGGGTCATGATACGTTGAGCCTGTAAATGGACGAACTTTAATATTGCATATTACAATTTTTATGAGAGAAAATTTTTTTAAATTTATTACTTTCACTTCCAAATCAGCAGCAACTTGAATAGTGGTAAGAGGCAGTAGTGTAACAAGAGGCATTGCTTCAGATGTCAGATTTTTCTGAGTAGATGCATAGGCCCCTCCTATTACCACTTCTTGAAATATTTGAGGGACGGTCAAGTCAAAAGGATTCTCTGCAACTATTCCTAGAAGCTAAAAACAGGCAAGGTTAAAATAGCAAATGAATAATTCTTAATTGATTAATGTAATAAAAGGTCAACATTTTTGTTTATCAATAAGCTAGGGTCAACTCTTTCAGATGAATATATGAGAACTTCATTTTACCTCTGCCACACTTTCCATGTCTCCAGCATGTACCAAGAAGTAATGCAAAATAGCAAGGCGGGTGCTCAAGCAAGGATCCTGGCGAAATGTGTCAAGCAACATACGAGGGCTTACCACCAAGCGCACAAGATCAAGAGCCCTTAGGTCTAGAGTGAGGCCACCCCCTGGTTGCAACAGTGGGACCAGATGGGAGGCTTGTGGAGGAGCGTGTCCCATGAGCACATGGCAGCAGGGCTCATGACTCAGTCCCACATCCAGAAGGTGAGTGAAAAGACCAGGCGCATAGACTAGCATGTGCTGCTCTGAAGGACCATAGATGAAACAGTGTTACAGGTTAGCGTTTCTTACAAAAGAGCACCAACCAAAATTCAGCACACAATGTTTTATAAGCAATGATTTCTAAAATAATTTAAGCGATAATCTGGAATAAATTTTTATTCAGAGATACTATTCCTTAATGGGTTGATGCAAAATATATTGGATACACAATTAATTGACCTAGTCTGTTTGAGAACATGCTGGTAGATAAATCCATATATTAAAAAAAATTGCATATCATAAAAAATCTAATGTTCGCAAGTACATCAATGAACAGTTGCAAACAACAACAATAAACTTTTATGGATAAATTGTCCATTGGAATGTTATTGTCCATTTTTCATTCTAAAATTTAGTGTGTGCTTTTTAATGAAAATGCATAAAATTTTGGGAAGTGCTTTGATTAATTATTTAAGAAAACCAGATGGCAAGGAATTCTGAGTTCTTAAAAAGGAAAGAAAAATTTCTTACTTGAATACTTCTCTTATTTGATCACAATACACTCCATCTAGCAAATATAATGGGAATATACATTATAATTTTATAATTGGAAAATGTAAGTAATAAGTACAAAATATAAATTATTACTTACATCTTTCACTTAAACTTTAAAGATTTTTATTCTCTGTTTTTTGTAGTTTAAAATTTTGTATTTAATATTTTCAAAAAAAGTTTACACACGTAAGCTTCCGCGGTTTGATTTCATAAATTCTTGGCTATCCAAGCGCCCAGGCAGGATAGTATATAACACTGGGCGCTTAGCGCTGCAGTGTCACTGCTCTGAGGAAGCTTGCTACATGTCAGGTGAAACGTTGGCATCTCAGCCAACGACGCGGCGTCTCCCGGGTACACAAGAATTTATTCAAAAAAGTTTGTCATTTTGACTTTCAGATGAAAATGTAAACACCTGACGATGCATGTAACCACACTTGAAACATCATAATAAGAATAAAGATTTTTTATCAATTACCATTGATTATCTTAAATAAAAAGAAACTTTTGTGTTTTTATAGTATATTTTTATTATTCCATTCATAAATATTTTATTTTTTACAGACTTATTACTTGATATTTATTTTGATGACTGCTAAATCCAAATTTAATATCACAACTCAGGTATAGTTGAAACTGAAAATGTTGTTAACTGTGGGCCACACATCAGATCTACAACACTCATTTTTAATTCTTGTGTTTTTGTTATTTGAAAAAAAAAAAAAAAAATTATTGTCTGACTGATTAGTGATTCCGGGCATGCCAACAGCCAATGTCACTAGTCCTGTAAGTATGCATGTTTTCCTAGGGAGGTGGCAGTGATCTTCCCCTGCTGGACAGTACAACCTGGCACTGACCTACTGTCAGCCTGTAGGAATTTCCCTGAACCAGGTATCCCCCGCCAGCAGGGCACCGCCCCAGCCAATCTCTAAGCTACCAGCTGGTTTCCTAGCATGTGTGGTAGACTTTGATTTTTGATAAGTGGCCTGTGGACATTGCAGCTCCCTATTGGCTTACTCTTCTTTTCATGCGTGACCTTGACAGGCCACTTTAAAAAAATCGAAGTATAGTGTAGTACATCTAAGTGTAAGTGTGTTTACATAAGGGGTGAGGATAGGACAAGGAAGAAGAAGGAAAGACAGTGTGAGGTTTCTGTCCTGTTTCTTAGGGTACTGCTCCGGCATTTGCCTGATGATTGGAGAGACCATGGAAAACTACCAAGCAGAGCAGCAGGCCGCTAGAATTCTCCCCCAGGCAGCGGCTGAATTTGACCTAGCTATAAAGCTGGTGTAAAATCCGGCCACTTTCGGGACTGAAACCTAGGACCTCCCAGTCAGGCACTGCAGTGACATCAGTTGATGACCTGAGCCACCTCTCCAGGTGTAGTTTTTGGTGTTACATTTATTACTGTCATTGAAGCAAAAATATTTAACTCAAAAGGTTACACCAATCTTACACACCATTTTACACCAATCATTTGCAAATATAAGACTACATCTGCACCCAAAACTATTCTATGTTTCTATGAGCTCTTTTAAATAAGTCTAAAGTAAAAAATTAGATGGTTTGTTAATGATGAATGGATAAAAATATATATAAGTGGAAATTGAATTAAAATTAAGCATAATCTTGTGCTCCAGAGCCATTTAGTAAGTTACAACAAAATTAACAACACAAAAACCTTCTGCATGAAAAAAATGCATAGATGTGCAATTTTTCATGAAGATGGGGCACACAGTTCTACTTCACTCCTGTCAGCCTCTGGTGGAATATATTAGGAATCTGTCTCTTAGTGACAGGTGAAAAATAATAATTTTGTTGCATCTATCAGCATATTACTTAAATGATATATTTTTAATGATTTTCTGCATTTGTGTTGAATTAATCCTTACCAAATTCACAAGGACACTGAGTCAAATCCTGAAAAAGTACCAGTAAATATTTTGTATCTACTCATACTCCTTTTTGTGGAATCGATGTCGATTGAATTCACTTTTATTAGCATAGATTGTGTACTCTTTTTCCACATCACAATTTACACATAGTTGTTAATCCTTGGCAAATTGGCCAAAATGTACAAGATGTCTGAAAATGTAGTCAAAAACAGAATATAGAAGACACTGAAAGACATTGTCAATCTTATGCCGCTTCTAACCAACAAGATACAAATTAATTACCAGCTGCACAAAAATTGCAATTGGTAGATGGTCTAAATTAGGTAGTATTTGATCAATGAGTAATAAAAATGAGTCACGGTGGTTCAAACAAATCACTCTATTTCTCACAATGGGCCCTTAATAATTGTAGATATTATATCAGTTGTTTCTGTCCTGGACATTATGGGAGTGATAGCGTACTTCTTCACTTCCAATTGAGGAACAATTTTTCGTAACATACATGTAAAAGCCCTAAAATTAGACTACACAAACTGTTCACTTACGACATTTCTCTTAAATTCTTAAATATATATTATAGAATGATGGCAATGATTTCCTCAAGTCCTTACCTCTATGAATAATAAAAGTTGGCTTCAGAACCCGAGCTTGTGACCAGGGGACTCCAGGCACAACACAGTGTAAAACACATCCATGATGTAAAAGAGTCACAGAATATGCAAAGTGAACAGTATTTGATGATTCTTCAATTCCACCCACTTCTAACATGGGAGGTCTTACAGGCTGAAGACAAGCAATCAAATTCACCCATTTAATAAAGCCAAGTAAAGTTCATAAAAGTAGTATGTATTAGTAGAACAAAATTAATGTAACAGTGGTGCATATTAAAGTGAAAAATTAATTTCACGAAAATACATACTTGATAAAGATAATGATGGCATATACACACCAGCCCTTTAGGATCACTCACAACTTGCAAATCAAGAGAACAGTCATGAATGCGCAAAGGGATGGGATCATCTTCATAACCTCCACAAGGCATACTTGAAGTATTGGGCAACTGAGGTAAGTTTAATGGTATATTGAGCTGAAATAATACGAAGTTAACACTTCGAGATTTATATCGTCTTAAAACAATGTTATATTTACAACTTTTAAAGGAATTCAAGAGCTTAACCCGTACAAAACTATATTTCCAAATCCTTCCATGGATTTCATGAAAGAAGTAAATTTTATGGCAGACACTGCAATTTGGAAGATTTCATTAATTGGATTGTTGGTGAAATAGATACCTTTTTATTATGACAAATAAATAAAGATATTGTCAGGTATCAATATTTTAATTCAACTTTTGATCATTTCGATTGTGTAGCGATCATCCTCAGAGCTTGCAGCTTCTGGGCCGAAAACAAAGTTCTGCAGAACTTTGTTTTCGGCCCAGAAGCTGCAATCTCTGAGGATGATCGCTACGCGATCGAAATGATCATAAGTTGAATTAAAATATTGATACCTGACAATATCTTTATTTATTTATCATTGGAAGATTTCATTAACTTTTCAAAGGGCTCTAAGTTGTCATGAGCACAGATAATTACCCATGTATATTTTTTCTTTCAGCATTGAAACTTTGAAAAATTTGCTATAAAAATCAATTCTTAAAAACTTTAATGTACACAACAATAGCCAGTAAAAATATCTTCAGGCTGATAAAAATAAAGCAATTAAATATACAATATATAAACCCTTGGGTTATATCACAATTTTTCTTGTCCAATTTGATAATTATTTACTAAAAAAAAAGTTGGGAAGAAATTAAAATACCCCTCCCTCTCACTACAAAGCTTTCAGTTCATTCTGAATAGAAAGAAGTTTGTAAGATATTTTCTACAAGATTAATACAATAAACTACATTTTCTTACAATTCAAAGAGAATTTTACAAAAATAAAATTAAAACATTGTTTTACCACAGTCTCATGAGGAAGGTCATCATGAAACTGAAGACAAGAGAGTATAGGCAGCAATTCCGTGTCATATGACTCCTCTGTATCTCCTTCAACAATCATCTGTGGCTTTCGATGATGTATGAAGTATAATGACTGATGTACTGGATCCCACTGGGCCCACATAAAAGCTCGTACCAGAATGTCATGAGAAAAAGATTGATCTAAAACCTACACAATACATTGTTCATTTAGGTTCTTGACGCTCTGATCTGTCAATTAAGAAATTAATATACATAAAACTTACCTTTTCATCATTTTCAATGATGTTTAATTGAACTTGATATAATAAAATTGCTGTAATTGAAACAAAAATTTATTTTTTTTGATAGGACATCAATACTGTTTCATCTTTATCTTAAAGAAACTTTTTTTGATAATTGGAAAACAAAGTATTATCTTACAACCTCATTCACGAATATTGAAAGTTAAATAATTTGAAGTAAAAATAAATAAATAAATAAAATTTTTAAAAAAATTAGCTCTATTTTGCAAATTAACTTTTTCATTAATAACTTACATTTATGATGAACAAATAAAAGAAATTTTTCTATAGAAGAATGTTCTTTTTTTTTGTACAAAAACTGAATCATTGTTTGTTGTGTACTGGCTTTTGTAAGTACTATAGGAACTGTATTTCCAGTTGAGGAGGTCTCCACAATGTATGCTTTATACATTCCTGAACCCCGATAATCCAGACTAGACATATCTGACTCATCAGACTCTAATGTATCTGCTAATAAATATACTTTTTCCTTGCTAACATATCCTGTAAATAGAATTCGCACATTTATTAAAGAAAGAAAAAAGAAAAGAAAAAGACCTCAAACATTTCAGAACTATTTTACATTTTGCTCTTAAGACACATTACATTACTAAATACATTCACTACTTCAGTGGATAAATAGTACAGAAACAGAGATCTTACCCAATAATGTGCGCCCACTATTAACAGTTGCTTGAACAATATGAATGAGAGTTTTGAAACGATAAAGTACCTGTAATTACATAAAGCAATATAATAATGTCGGATGCAATTATTTTCCTAATTCATTCTTTCGTTTTCATTACCTGAATTTTATTTTCTCCATGTAAATAAAGACCCACACAATAATGTTCCTGAATTTCACAAGCATCATGTGATTCCACAACCCATCCAATTACGAGGCTGCCATCCTGTTCTTGGCCCAAAATTTTCCATTCTTTGCCTAAAAAATTATTACAGAAAAAACTATTAGGAATACCAAAGGCAATATATGATCAAAAATATGATCAACATTATAAGCAAGAACAAATAATGATATGTAGGAATGGATCCGTTGGAACTCGCCGAATTACTAATTTTAAAACGGCGATTTACCTAACTTCACCATCCCATGTTGAAGACGAGTTACCTCGAATAACCACATTCAAATACCCCGCGGAATTAAATACGCATATTATGGATGCGTATCACTTCTCAAATGAAAATCATTTTAAATTCACAATGTTTATTTTATTTTCAATAAATCGCGTTTACCTGATAATTTCTGTGTTTTGCTTATACCATTAAAAATTCTACCCAGATTGTCCACATTTGCCATTGTGGGGCCAGGACGCTAAAACAGCGAGCAACGGTGTACAAGACCGACTTTGTTGTCTGACTCACGAAGAAGGTACTAAGCAGATAGTGGGGTCATTGTTTACGCTCAGGGTAGGTGACAAGACACACCACGCATTTACACCAGCAGCTTGTGCGTGCCTGTGCGAAACAGATAAGTTTGTGTGCGTATATCAACCGTGCCCAGGGAACAGTATGGCAACCTGACATGCGCTGGCGCCAGAGAATATTATGTGATTCTTATGACTTCTGACATGAGATTGTCATTTTGCAAATAAAATTTCATTGATATAATTGACTTTAATGTTAAAAATAAAAATAATAATCAATTTGACTCTTCAGTTAACTTCTCATTACTGTCACATTTTCCTTTTGTACGTCACGTGTATGTACACGTGCTTGTACTGACAAGTCTGAAACAATGGTCCCTGTGCCCTTACATAATTTTTATATTTACATTTATGAAATTAAAATATGTTGCTGCGAAGAATATATATATTTAGAATCGAAAAATCTATTATAGAGTTCCTTAGAAATGTATTTGCTCAATGACAAGCTAAATAATATTGTATTTAAGTGAGGTCAATTTTTGTAGACAGTACAGTACCCCTTCTCTTGCATGACTTGGTATAACACGCTAGTTGCAACGTGACTGGGGCTGGACCTCTCCGTAGCAGGCTGTTATTGGTTGGCCGGATATTTCTGACTGTAGAAATGCTTCACGCGATAGGCTGTTTACAAGACTTCAAGTATACCCCATTTGTGTTATTGTTGGGTTCCAGGATCTTCGCACTGTTTAATTGCATCCGTGAAACTATTACTTGAAATAAGATCTTGTTTTAACTATTATCCAGTTGACGGATATATTGTTCTTAAAAAATATTTCTTCTATAAGATGCCTTGTGTGAGACTACGTTTTGACCAATAGCAGAAGACATAGCAGAATTGGTGTATCTTAGTTTACGTCGAGTCAGTGATAACTTTTGTACGCATGCGTTTATGTGCTATTATATGCTTGTGCTTATTCGCCATTATCTGGGATGTGAAGAGAATGTGAGGGATTGTGATGTAACTTTGTACTAACAATTTCAGAGCCCGGCGTATTGTTCCAATATGCATTCTGTTGAAGAATTGGGAACAAACGTTCCTGCTTTTCTTGCAAAACTATGGAAGATGGTTGAAGATTCGGAAACCAACGATTTAATATGTTGGAGTCCGGTACGTAGGTTTTTTATGCTTTAGGGTGTGTATACAATGAGCAGAAACAAACTATCAATTCCTGATTATGCAAGCATGAGATTTATTCATTAGTATTTGCATCCTGAACGTTGTGTGAAATGTCATTCAAGTTAGCATGACTCCTTGTAAGTTGGTGCCCTTGTCCTGGTTTTGACATTGGATAGTAGTTTCTGGTTGATATTCTGCTATCCGTTAAGTACCTTTTGAAAAATTAAATTGCTTAGCATTGAAATGTCAACTAGTCCCTGTATTCATTTGTCTTGTGACTCTACACTGCAAAATAATTGGTTACAGTAATTGATTTGAGGTTAAAAGAGTCATGTAAATAATTGATTTTAGCATACTTTCAAAGTGGCACATTTCTATGTGGATAGTCTAGATTGAAATGTTGATTAAATCCAGGGCTGACTTTCTTGGGGTATGCTTGGGAATTGATACCTTTAAACTTTGTAAACTATCAGAAAGGGAAAAAAAAAAAAAATTACTAAGTATTTTTTTGAGTATTAATTCTAGATATGCTACATAGCCCAAATTATGTGTTTACTTTATTTTAATATGTGTTAAGATTATGATCTTATAATTATGCATTGTAAATGTTAGGCTTTGGCATTTGGAGAGAATCGCGTAACTTTCAGAAAATCAGCACTGGTTAAATGCAACATAAAACTTGCTTCTTTAATGTTCTTAATAGTGAATAAATATTATGTGGGCAAAGTGTAATTACGAAAACAATAGAATTGAAATGGTGAAAGTCAGGATGTATGTAAGGCCCTATTCAGAGACAAAATCAATACAAAATTATGAAAGACAACATATAGTTCAATAATTGAATACGTACCATAGTAGCAGATACACATTAGAATGAATATAAAAGGTTTATTAAATACAAGTTCATGAGTTGTAATCTGATGTGTGTGTAATTATTTAATGTTTATTAAATAATAGGGCTGTGAATATGGCCTGATATAAACATGAGAAAGCACTAACTGCACCATTAATGTATTCTTGTATATTGGTATTCATCAAGTGTTTTATTAGAATCAAGAGTTATATTAATTGATTTGTTCATAACCAAATTGTCTCTTTTTAGAATGGAAAATGCCTTCAAATCTGATAATCTAATTAGACTTGATTGGGTAATGTTTCTCTTGTGTAACTTGTCAGCTTAAACTTGACAATTGTCAGTAATTTTACCATTTGTTGTATTAGGATTGTTGTTAATTATCAAGGAGCTTAATAATTTTTATATTGATGAATTGAAACCTTTTCAAAACTTTAATTGCTGTGGAGTACCAGTTAAAGTTCAGTTTCAAATCTCTTAATTGGTGACTAAATGTTTTTTTTTAATTTCATTTTCAGAGTGGCACTAGCTTTTATATTAGAGATCAAGCAAAATTTGCAAGGGAGTTGCTTCCCTTATATTATAAACATAACAACATGGCAAGCTTTGTACGTCAATTAAACATGTGTAAGTATTTATGAAGACACTTAAAATTGTAGAATTGAGGTACATTCTCAGAGGAGATTGAGGCAGATTGCTGGAAAACTGTGTCTTTATATTTTTTAGCAAATATATGCCCTGAGATTTAACATTTTTTGTACAACTCTAAATTTCATTTCAGTAAGAAAATAGGCTAAATTCTTTCTTCATTATTCACCATTTGTTCTTTTTTGTGCAGATGGTTTTCATAAGGTGGTGTCAATTGAAAGTGGAGGCCTGAAAATAGACAGAGATGACATGGAATTTGCACATCAGTATTTCTTAATGGGACATCCTTACTTGCTGGAACATATTAAGAGAAAGGTGCTATTTTTATTTGTTTTGTTTTTAATAAAATTGTCTACAGTATGAATATGGTAATAATATAAATAAATTTGGTTGGTTTATATTTTTATTTGATTGTAGATTCCCACGAATAAATCTGATGATGGACGAACTGGGACAAAACCAGAACTTGTAAACAAAGTATTGAGTGAAGTTAAGTCTCTTAAAGGGCGTCAAGACAGTGTGGACTCGCAATTGAGTGCCATGAAAAGAGCAAATGAAGTACTGTGGCGTGAGGTGGCTATTTTACGCCAAAAACATCATAAGCAGCAACAGATTGTAAATAAGGTAAAATACTTACAAGTTCTAAATTGGTTTCAAATGTTTCTGACATTATGGCTTGTTAATATGTCATTATCCAGTTCTTGCCACAACAGAGAGTGATAACTGTTGTTACAAGCAAAGCATGTGTGTTTGAATCCTATGTAAAACACATGGTTTTGTTTTGCTGTTGTTCTTTGAAGGCAGAAATAAGTCAACATGTCTCGTATAATATTGAAATTATCTTTCTTTAATTTCGAATGGCAATGTTCATGTAAATTAAATATTATTACTTATTTGTTTGCCAGTAATATGTCAGGAAAATACTCCTTGCAGGAAGGTAGTATTTTGGTTGAAAAAGTTGATTGTGATTTGGCGTGATGTACAAATGTTTAATAATTTTGTTTGGGCTTAAATTAAAAAAAGTATTGCTTATCTTGCTTTTTGGTTGGTTCTCTACTGAAAATATAGATCTTTAAAAGTGAATGGTAATCGTTAACACTAAAACACCTGACTTACCAGTACACCCTAGAACGCCCTACAGTATCATTTTGATTCCGAGCTTCTAATAATTCTTATTAAAAAGAAATGTTGCAAAATTACTTATCTACATGAGTATAACATTATTAAAAATTATATTTTAGTGCAGTGTTATTCAAACTGTGAGATGCGCCTCCCCAGGGAGATGCGACAGCTTGGAAGGGGAGGCCCGAGAACTTCGGATTGTCAGCCATGGTGATAATCAAGACAAAATATACATCAAAAATGAATCTCTAGAATGAGATATTTTGCTATTATTAATAATTTAATTGTAATGAGAGGCGTTGGCAGAATTTTTTACCTCAGTCGTGGCAGCAAAGAGTTTGAAAACCATGGTTTTAGTGTATAAGAGAAGTATTACATAACAATTTAAGTATATGTTAAATATTTCTTGTGATTATAGATCCTCAGAATGAAAGTTAACCAAATACAGTAAAACCCCTTTTTTACACTTTTCAGGGGATTGGTGAAAACAAAGTGTAAAATGCAAAAAAGTTTTAAAATGATAGGCTAGGCAAGTACTTTCATTATTTACTGCAATGGTAGCTCTGTTTTCACTTTCTCGCCCTTTGTAAGAAGAGAAATTAAAACGTGCGCTGGAATCAGTGATTTTCATCAGTAAATCTCTTATTAACAGGCCCTGGTACTGAAAAAGTGGATAAATCATATTCCTATATATAGTAAATTACTTCCTCTAACACGTGGTGTAGCCTGAATCCCTGTTTTATAGGTCCTTGAAACGGCAAAATCGATTGATGGCAAAATGTCTGTTCGTCAGTCTGTGGTCAACGCGAGTGTGTAAACCACCTGCTGATTTGAAAATTGATATTTCTCAAATGATGTGAACAAACTTGAGGCTCTTGCGAGTTTGTTACGTACATATGTAGTAATTTACTATATATTGGAACAGGATTTGTGCACTTTATCTGTATCAGTAAGTTTTTCTGTCAAAAATTCTTGGGCTTTTGCCACAGCATTACATAACTTTTTCTGCACTATGTGATATACATATGTATAGAAGAAATGTTAAAAATAAACAAAATAAATTGAAGAGATGTAGAAGAAGAACTCTTCATATCAAGTTGTAAATGGCAGGAAGAGGATGTATTGTAGATATAGGCTTTCTGACGGGACCAATAAAAAATAAAGTTAAAGACGGGAAGACATAAAATGTGGGAACATAAAAACGGGGTTTTACTGTATGTTGAACAGAAAGTGCAAGTACACAGAAAAATATGTTGGAAAGTAAGGTGTTCAAATGTTCAAATGTTATTTTTGTAACAATAATGAAAGAGAAATGTTATAAACTTTTCATTTTAAGTAATATCAGTTCCACACATGACACAAAAACATTGTATTTATTGTAAACAATCGTAAAATGTTAGAATTCTATGTTGGTTTCCCAACAATAAGAACCTGATGTGTATTTCACAATAGACGTCTAAGAGAAATTTAATTCCATGTTCTAAGTGGCACTTTGTTTTTATTCGGGATTTTTCTCATTGTATTTACTTTCTACATTACTGACGTTACTGTGCATACAGTATAAAATATGTACAGTTGCAAGATTCAAACTCTTAATGACTTGCACAGACCGCAGTTTTCAAGAACATTTTGTAGATACTATCCAGACGTTTGATCATCACCTTCATATCCATGGCGTTTCATATCCATGGCTGCATTTTACTGGCCTTCTTGTTTTTTTTATCATACTTCCCCAATAGTTGTATTATATGAAAAAACATTGGCACACACCTTTTTAGTGATCCTCTCTCATAAGTTGCAATTGTTTGCTACTTTGATTTTTAATTGATGAAATATGTTGAGTTGGATACATTGAGTTTGGAAGGAAAATACATATCAACTTTGTTTCTGCGAGTCTTAGAGTCTGAAATGCCCTCCTGTAAATAACAATTCTTTTCCAAACCCGGTCATTAAATTTTATCTGAATGACTTGGAAAAATAACAATTTTTTTCTTTCATGTGATAATCATTTGCTTTTCAAAACTTATTGAAATATTTGCTATTCTGTGACAAAACAACTCCTGCTTCATTACTTTGCATGTATTGAAAAAAACAAGATCGGAAAACAATGCAAACCAGAAGGAATGCTCGCATATTTCTTTACAAGGTATCTGAAATACTAGAAGACACATTTAAAATTTTTCAGTGTTGAAATCTATGAAACAGATTCGGTCAGTGTGCAAGGAGTTGAATTTATGCTGAGCGGGTATTCTATGTAAATTTGAGAATTTTTCATGAAATTTATTTTTTTCACAAAGTCACAAAATTCTATTTTAAAAAACAAGGAAGTTAGAAGGATGTAAAGAGCACCAGGAATCAAAATGACACCTCTAGGCTTTCTAGTGTTAAGTGTAATGAAAGTTTTTCAATTTGGTTGAACAATTTGTAAAGGTTGTCACTTTCTGGAAAACCGGGGAAAAAATAGAGAATTTCATTAGCTCTGCAAAAATCACATTTTGTAGAAGAATCAGGCATGAGGGAGATAATACTGTAACTATATATTATTTCTTAAAAAGATAAGTCCAGCAAAAAATAGTGACTCGGTTTTTATTTGTTGAGGTCTTTTTTCCAAATTTTTTTCAGGTCCAAGTAAAGTCTAGGCAATTTGTCTTGGGAAATGAATGGCCACCCTGATTGTTCATTTTATCTGAGAATAAAGCGTGCTTTGAGATTATGCTTCCTTTCTTTTTTGCTTAATCCTTCAGTGTGGAAGCAGTTTTTCACACTTCAGCCTATCAATGCAGGACAATTTTTTGCATGGCTACTCAGGATGCTGATAATTCGCTAGAAATTGTTTCGGATACCTTATTTTCTAATATATTCTGTTAAGATTTTTACCAATAGTATTTGAGGTTGAGGTGACTCACTTAAGGTCACTTACTTTTGAAGGAAGGTCCCTAGTTTCTGATTATGTAGCAGCAACGTAAAGCAAAATTTGAAGGAAAGAGCAGAAGATGGTGTTAAATTTTAACCAACAGTATCTTCATAAAAGGCAATAATATCTTTCTACATGAAAACTTATTTGTTCTCAATACTTCAAAAATACGCTTTTGAGCACCATTATGCCAACGAAATTGAAAAGTTCCCCACATTTGGTGAAAAAGTTATAGTTAACCCTGAGGCTATCAAAACACAATTGTAACAAGGAAACGAACCTAATTGATTACTGGATTAATAGACCTAAGACACTAGTTTGCAGGTCTAATGTATTCTAAACACTTAACCATGTTAATGTAATTTGAACTCTTGCACACTTTGATGACATCTGTTACTTATCAAATAATATATAACTAATTTGCATCAAATACTGAGTGAATTGTGGAAAGAATATAGTCTCAATTACGCACAGAACAAACTGTGAACAAAATACCTGTCCTTGAATTACCATTGCACTAATAAATCTTTAAATGAAAACAAATCTGCAGGAGCTGAGATGAAGGTATATGGAACTTGAACATGTGATGACATGGGTGATACACTCGCACAAGATAAATGCCTTCTTCCATAAGAACTAGACACCTTCCGCTTGGAGCCAGTAACACTCCAGGGTTGCTGGATAGTTGTAAACCCACATTGAAATACGACTTGTAAAGAGTGGTGTGGTAAGAAATTACCACTGAAGCATGCTGTGAAAAGTTGAATGGTATTTGCAAAAGTAATACCATTAAGCATTGTATTAATCTGAGCAGTGAACGAACTTAGATTCTTGCTTGTAACAATGTCTTGTTTGCAAAAGAAATCATTATCTTCAGTGATCACGGAGCCCAAGTATTTGAATTGATTTACTTGTATTTTGCTCTCATTCAGAGTTATTGTGATTTTTTTATTTTCATATTCCTGGTTTTGGGGCCCTTGTTATATTAGACAATTATATTAGACTTATGTTGTATTTAACAATCATAAGAGGGTGTGCGTGTAAATGGGAATAAGTCAAGTTTTTGTCCAATACGAGTGTGCTAGGATATTGCTTTATTACACCTCAAGCTAATTACCTGTGCAAACTGACCATAAGCTGCAACTGTATTTGACCGCATGAATACTGATAAGATACAGCCCTCTAGGCGAGAGAAAAGGGAGGAGGCAATTGCTAAGGTGTGGTGTTGCTGACAGCATGAACTAGTGTTGCAAACACCAACAATACTTTTGTTGAGTAAGAGTTTTGCAAAATTAAACATCCCAGCCCTCTCATAAATGTTACTTGATTGATGCTTTGCATTAATGCCAAATAATCACTGGATCTCAAAAATGTACCTTGTGAAGAGGAAACTTCCACAATACGTCTCAGTCCCAGATGATAAGGGAAAGGACTGGTTCCTAATTTCCATGGAAGAGGCGGATTGTTTTCCAGAGCTAAGAGAACTCGGTCAGTGACCTAGATATTTAGGACACATCCAGTTTGATCTTGTGTGCAGAGTGAAGATACTGAATCAACCAAAATTCTCCAGTTACAAATTGCTTAAATGCCTTCCCAGAGATCACGAATATCATGTTGCACTTCTGAAACTAACAGAAGTGGCAGAGAAAGCAAGAAGTATGAATGAGAGAATGTGCAGGTGTCAAGGCTGTCAGATTGCTGGGCTTATCTGAGAAAGGAATGAATGGTCTCAAATTGTGACATTCTTCAATCTGACAAGTAAAAATGATTGGCTAATGTTGAAGATTATTGAGTTGTGTTTTAAAACAAGTATTAAAATGTTTAATAGCAGCTTCACTGACGCTGGGAATTAGTTGAAATCCATCACCATTCAATTTTGTGCTGCTAAGCAAAATCATTTACTTGGTACTGGAGTGACAGACTGGATAATTGCTGAAACAATAGGTATTACTTTTATCACATTTGCAGCTCCTTTGAAGTTTGTAGCATTGTCTCCAGATTTTTGATGGACATCCACAACTGCCAATGAACAGACTGGGCTTTAAAACTTGTGTGGAGAGCTCTTTGACAACTTCTAATTGAATTGCTCTTGGAGCCAAACAAATGAACTTGGAGACATATGCTTTGCTCACCCTGGCGGCTTTTCTAAAAAGTCTTGTGAAGAAAGGCTTGCAAGAGCTGAAATTGAAATAGTGCAACATATACTAAGAATTTGTTAACGAGTTTTGTTTTAATTGAGACCAGAAGAATTTAAGGGTTATTTGCAACCAAAGTTTTCAACAGCTTTTAATCTACAAGAAATCATATTGTAACAAGTGCAAATTCAAACTTGCTGAGTAAAGTTTAACTAACCAAGTCTTCATAAAAGGCTTTCATACAGAAATCAAATTGTTTCCAAATAATATTTTCACTAGGCACCAGCCTTTCTTCAATGACATGATTTTGCACTGTATAATCAATCATCTTTTTAACTTTTTCCACCTCTAATCTTATAAAATACACTACTTTTTAAATTTTGAAAATACGTTTTATACTTATGGATCCAATGATTTGAAAAAAATACTTTTGTAAAATTTTACAGAAAATTGGGTTTTTCAAATTTGAGATCAAAATTAACGAAGTGAAGTTATGAAGAAAATCTATTTTTTAACTACTAATAATTGTTATTTCAAAATTTAGAAGCATGAAGACAATGCAGATTTGCACTGCAAACATTTTTCCGTTCTGAAGAAAAGCTGTGGAGATTTCAATAAGTAGAAAAATTTGTACTTATGTACGCAAATTTAATATGCACAGTTATTGAGCAAATATAGTACTCAAAATCGTAGTGTGCATTAGATTAGAATTTAAATTTATTCCACAGAGCTTCATTCAATTTTTTTGTTTGTTACGTCACAATGGTTTGCTGGAGTTTACAAATTTATCTTGGTTTCATTTATTATTGGCCTATTGCCTATTATTAAGAGTTTTTTTACTTATGATACGGAGGGCAAAAGGAGAAGATTGCCTTGTGATCCATTGTTGTATTACATAAATTTAAATAAGATATCGCACCTATTGTTCTTTCATTGGCGGGTATTACATTTGATACAAAACCTTTTTTTTTCTTATTTTGTTTCCAATATGGGGTGTGCGTTACATTAACGTAAATACAGTATTTATTATTTAGAGGCAGTTAGAACTGACAGGGTTCATTATTATAAATAATGTTCCAATTGAACATTCTACTTTTTCTGCTATAATATTGATACCTACTTTATAAAAAAAAATATTGTTACTGTATTTTAGGAATCATTTTTCTTATAGTTTTGCTTCAAGACATTTTTAACTATCTTTCTTTGCTTTGTAGATGGGTTAAGGAGAGAAATCATTAAACCAAAGGGAAAACCCGGAGAAAACATAGGGAAAACAAATTCATGTGACAACAGGCAGCCTGATTGATTATAAATTAGTTTTTGAATCCAATATGTTCCGTGTGTCAGTGTGTGGAAAATTATTGAAATATTGTCTTAAATTAAAATTGTTTAAAAGGAGAATTGGGTATATTTTCAGCTAATTCAGTTCCTGGTGTCTATGGTGCAAACATCCCGAAGTGGTGGAATTGGAATCAAGCGTCATTATCCATTGATGCTAAATGATATCACACATCATACGAGTAAAACTTCATCCAAACTGAATGGCAACATAACAGATGTGAATTCTGTGAGTAAATTTTTGTTTTTAGCTCTTTGTGAAAATTGGAACATGATGCTAAATGTATTCTTTTTTTCTGTAGAGCAATATGTCTCCTACTGGACCTGTTATACATGAATTGGATACTGCTGAACTTCTGGATGATTGTTCTCCTGCCATAGATGATGAAAATTCTGCTCCAGTTTTTGAGTATGTGTTTGCATTTTTATAAATTAAATAATTTCTTTGTACTGATATCAGGTAAATGAGTGTATGAGAGATAGTTAGTCTCAATGAGAGTGTGTGCATGCATGCATGCATGCATATGTGTGTGTGTGTGTGTGTGTGCGCATGTGAGAGGGCCTTCATGCCTCTGGCAAACAATATTGATCAAAGGGCTTTTTTTAAAAATTTGTATGTAATGTATCTTCTTCTTCAATGGCGCTTCAGCCCAGGTCAGGCTTGGGCCTCGCCAATAATTCGCCTCCAATTTTCTCGGCTTTCCACAGCTCTTCTCTGTATTCTTACCCCCAACTCCTCCCTTGTATTTTGGGTGACATGGAGCCATCTCTTTATTGGTCTTCGAACCGTTCTGCCCCTAAACACCCTCTCCTCCATTGCTTTCTTTGGTATTCTCGTGCATGGCATATGTTGCTCATGTCCTGTCCATTGTAGAATGACATCACTACACTTAGCACCAACTCCAGCTGCAAGATTGCTATTTTGCCTGATTTTTTTAAATGGTCACAGAGAAAATTGGGAAGCTTTTGAGCCTGTCAAAAAATGGTCAAAATGGCCATGAAAAACTCAGGCAAAAGCTATGCATGTCTGGGAGGTTTTGACATTTTGGGGGTTAGGCCCATGGAGCTTTGGCCAGTTATTTAGGTGTGTCAGGGTGAAGAATTGAGGAACAACTCCAGGAACCCAGATGCCATGACAAGTAAAATAATATATATAAATCAGCTGTAACCCTGAATGCATAGAGCCATGCCATTCTTTTTGAAAACTCCAGTCTTCGTGCCGGTAAATATCTGCATCACGGAGTATTGAATTCCCTAACGATTTACGAAATGGAATGTCCTATGCATCGAGCTTCAATGACCATTCTGATTTTTAAGTCTCTTAATTTTTGTTGTGCAGTAATGATGTCAGAAACATTTTCACTTAGAAAAGACCAGTGCAAATTGAAGCTATGTCAATGTATGTCCCTCTTATACTTTTACGCAATACTACTGCCATCCTGCTATTTTTTTAAAATTTTTTAAAAAAAATAATTTATTTATTTACATCAAAAACAGTTAAAAACTGTGTGGCATGCTATGGGGAGAAGTTAATTTGTAGTTACATTTATGTCCAGAAACAAAAGATGGGGCCATCTCAGCATTTGCTTGAGGATCAGGGAACCTGGATGAAAATCTAATAGAGATGAAAATGTATAATGAAACATTTCCATATTCAATTAATTTCAGCGAACAACAAACACAAAAAAATGATGTAAATAAATCAAAATAATCATAGATACTTTAATTAATTCATTTTTTACATCATTTTACGGCTCCTCCTAGAGTGGTAGGTGATCATATTTTATGTTCTTTGTACGCCTTCAATGTTATAAATCGTAAAATCAGTGGTAATATTGTGGAGTGATTTGCATTAAAAGCATCTGTAGTGTTATAAATTGTAAAATCTTATGAAGTGATTAGTAATTGAGAAGTGATAATTTAAATGTTTCTCAAAATAATATAAATGTTCCCCATAAAATACAAACTTTCCCAATAAACAAGGAAACTGAATTTTTGTGGTAGTGAACTGGTATACATATAATGGAAAAGATCCCATATGTTGATAAGAAAACTTGTGGTTCTTGTTTCTACTGTTGGTAATATGCTATTCAGTGGGAACACTATCAAATTATCTTTCCCATCCCTTGGCACTCTTTCCCCTTCCATTGGCAAAGCTAGTTCGGGCAGCAACAGGCATATATTAGATCCTCAAAACAACATAAAAGAATAATTGGGAAATAGCTGTTTCTTTGTTTACCCATACATGTTTCTCTTTTTTTAATGTACTTTTAACTCAAATTATGTACATGGAAAATATAATAATAATTTAAGGACTTCAAAAATAAACTAAAACAAAAAATATTGACTTAAGACTTTCAAGTGATTTATTTTTAAGCTCGAAAATCAATCAATCGATTATTTATAAATTTTTTGATGAATCCAATAAAAACAGTCATTTTATTCCCCAAAGAAGTATTCGCCTTGAAATTCTAAAAACAACTTGAAAAAAAAAAGAAGTTTGATTTTCAGTGACTAGTCCCTTAGACTTGATGTTTAGTATCAAAAATATGATAAGAAATTACTGTACATGCTAGAAAATCCTCCAAAGTATTCAGTTCGTCACTTTACATTAAAAAAAATAAAAAAATCAAAGAACCGACGAGATGTAATGTAATGTTGTGGAAAGGGAGAAAAATACATTATTCATTATTACATCGTCATAGTAACCTACATAAAAATTTGTTGTTCTAGGTTATTTTGGGAGTAGAATAAGGTCTCTAAGGATGATAAAGAATATCATCCTTTTCTAGTTTGGTCATGAACCAAATTCACCTATCTTATTCCGCTATACCCTTTGTCATCGGAATTTTGAGAAAATCGTAATTACTGTTGGCAGTAGAAAGTAGAAGGGAGTTTCTCACCTGATACACAGCAGTGTTAATCACCCTCTTAGTGAAGGTAATCACATGGCATCTAATAAGATATTTCTATTCAATTAATATTCTTCATTTATAATTCTAAATTTCGCTGTATAATTCATGGTAAGACTTCAATCATGAAATCAACATGGAGTAAAGAATATGGAGATTCAGTAGTGGATGGCTCAGGATTTTTGCCACTGCAGTATCCAACTTGGTGGTTATGCGATTGGAAACCTGACAATTCTGGGGTTTCCGACAGATATCAAAGTTGAAGTCAGCTATTATCTGGTGGAGAATAGTTGCAGCTGGCTGCTCTGATTGGTAGTTTTCTATAATTTCTCAGATCACTACCATCCTGAGAGCTGGAGTTATGCCTTTAACCAACAGGCCAGGGACCATGGGCATTCTTTGCTTACTCTTTCTTGTCTACTTGTCCTACTACACATTACAGACTCTAGCACTTATGTCCACTGTACTACACGTGTTACGAGCCTGTCCAGGTTGTGGCAGTGTCAGAGATGCCTAGATAGAAGAATACTCTCGAACTGATGTGTAGGTCAGAGCTCATGTTCCAGCAGGGAGGATCACTGCCACCTCCTGGGATATATCAGGCCGTACACTTACAGGACTAATGAGCATAGGTGACATGCTCACAGTTTGTTTTGTTCACAACAGAGTGAGAATAATTTTGTTTACACCTTTTCATCTCCAGTTGTGTTGTTTTGCAGCAAAATTATAGTGATATTTAAAAAAAATGATTCTGCTTTGTTATTAGAGATTTGACATGAACATTTTGATTAAATAGAAACTTTCGCTAATGATATATTGTTTAATAATAAACAGTTTGCAAGATGCTGTAAATGTTGGCACATCATCAAGCAGTGACCAGAGTGCTACCACTTCAGCTACTTCAACTACCTCAGCTTCCAATGCTACCAGAGTTGCAGCTGACTCTGCTGGGGCAGCAGACCTCTCGGCAACGAATGGCACTGATATGACTGGTCAGCCCTCTCAAGTTTTACTTGAATTGGCTGAAGAATGCCCAGTGAATGAAGATGGTTTGGTTACATCTGGAAATATGAGTATATCACCTTTATTCTCAACAGTGAAGCCTAATAAAGGGAAGCAGAGATCTTCTGTGTATAAAGGGGGCAAGCGTCGCAAGTCAAAATTAATGCCATCAATTGCCAAATCAACTAATCCTTTAGTGACAATCAAAACGGAAAGAATGGATCCAGAGGAACCTGTTAATGTGTAAGTATCATTTTGTTATTAGTCGATACATTTTAAGAAATTTAAATTATTCTGTCTCTTTTGTTTGATGTCAAATGCAATTGAAGGTGATTTTTAAATTTTAATTTTTCGTATAAAATGCAGATGGGCATTTGTCGAGGGTCGAACAGAGTCCACATGTCCAGGTTAATAATGAAACGAAACTCCAGCTACTAGTTTTTATTCATTTTGAAATTACAGTTTTATATCGTAAAGTGCCATTTGTTAGAGAGTCAGTATTTAGGGAGTTCAAAAATTTTGATCTAAATCGCCTGGGAAATATGAGGCCAAGAATATCCATGAATAGTACATATTACAGAAATGCATATTTTTTATCACCTTTACAGTGCACTGTTACATCTGCATTGGAGTTTATCATAGAAATGTGAAGTAAAAATATAGATTTCAACTGACAAGGCTTAATCTGCATAGTTGGCAAATAAAATATTCGGGAGAAAATCTATGCCGGAAAAAATGGTATACACAATACAACACTATTTACATGCCAAGAATATTTTTAAAATATTGCAGTTTCATTATGCAGCAAGTAAATGAATGTTTTATAGCATGTGATTTCTTTCTTGGAACCTTGCTGTCACATGTCAACTTTGTTTATTAGTGGGGTATCAAGGAAGAGAATTCAGTCAGTATGCATAGTATGAGAAAAGGCTAACACAAACTAGTATTTGCATTTTTCACCCCAAATCCAAACTATTTTAATACTTTTTACTTTCTTATTTTCAAAACTTGCTCCAAAATAGCTCCAAATTTTTTCTTCAAATTTCTTGTAAGAATAGAGTAAAATACAGTTATAAAGGTGGTGGTGGTTTTATTTTCACCGTTAACTAAATTTTTGATTATTGCAAAGTTAAAATTTTGTCTGCGTCTTCGTACTACTACATATGAAATTTGTTCTGCATAATGAATTCTTCCATTCAGGTCATGTACGTTTTTTTGAAATTTCTGGTAGTTTTAGTGCAATAATGGATGCAATGTGTGCAATTTGAAAATATAACAAAATTATTTTCTCAAACAGCTCCTCACACATCGTGAATATTTACATTAGCAGCGATTTCTTCATATTAATGCAATTTCGAGTACATGTGCTCTAAATGTCATGTAAATTTTTTCGAATACTCAAAAGTTTTCTGTGAAAAATATATCAAAATTCGGTATTTTCTCAAACTTTCAAATGCCACTTTCTCAAAAACAACTGCAAAATTTTTCTTTAAACCTTTAATATGGATAGTGCTAATTGCACCGTTTAATATGATGTAAAATTAGTTTTGCAGTGGTCTTTTTATTGTTATTATTAATTATATTATTATTAATATTATTATTATTAATAATATTATTATTAATAATATTATTATTAATAATATTATTATTAATATTAATATTCTGAAAATAATATTTCAGTTCTACCATTAGGAAACTGAAAAATTGAGAAAATGTGTTTACAAATATAGGGGTCATTGCAACTAAAGTCTGCCAAATTGTCTCAGCCCTCTCTCAAAGGGCTCAAACTTTTTTATTTTCATCTCAAAATAAGCAGAAATGTGCTTATTTGTTTTAGTTCATTGTATTTTCATTTATATTTCACATCAGCGCATTTAGCTCTTTTTGCCCTATTTCACAGAGCACTAGAAAACTATGTTGTAAAATTAATAAAAAAAATAGATATTTTGATAACATAAAAATAGATATAATAATATAATATAATTTGATGATGAATAGAATCATAAGATTTTTTTATAAATTGTAGTGATTTTGGATATGACGATGCTGGAATAAGATGTCAAAGATCAAACTTCTAATTTTTCTTCAAAAATTCATTCTCAAATTTCGTCATCTTCGATTTTCCTGAAATTTTAGGAAATGAAAGAGAGCATACTTTTACATATTAAACTTACGGTGCTACAGAATGGTACCAATTTTCCCCTATTAGTTTTCTATTTCCTTTAGTCTCTGCTAGCTGTTTGGACTTGCCATATACTCTTGCCAGCATCTATCTCTGCCCAAAGTAAATTTTTTGACTTTTTTTTCAATTTTTCAGTTTTATAATAGTAGAACGGAACTATTACTTTAAGCATTAAACTGCTGATCCCCCCCCCCTCCCCTCCACATAGAAAAGTAACATTTACCTATGAGGACAATCAAGTCTGAGCCCCTGTGGGATGCATGTATCGCATGGCCCCATCACGTCCGATTCCCAGAACAAAAAAAGATAGCAATAGTAATAGTAAAAATTAGTAGTAGCATTATAATGCTGGATATTCCATGCATTTTAATATTTTTATTTAAAAAGTAAATTTGAAAAATAGATTTTTTAGAAATAGTATCACTTTTTACCTTTTAACCTTAGAAAAATCCATGTGGATTTGAATAAAACATGTGGAGCCACCTAAAAAAGTTGAAATGTAATCAATTGTAAGAAAAATTTTATGAATTTATAATTTCAAATATTATAACATATGATAAACAATTATATCTTTTGTACATTTATATATAGAGTTCTTTTAAATTGTGAATTAGAAAAATGTAATATCAATTTCAAAACAGTATAATTTCGGAAAATAAATTTTTAAAAAATTGCTACTTTTTTGATATGTTAAAGTATCCCTTACCCTTAATTTTCCAAAATTTCAGCAAAATCGAAAATGGCGTATTTTGGGAATGCATTTTTTTGAAGGAAAACGGGATATTTGATCTTTGAACTCCTTATACATCATGGTCATGCCGAATATCACTAGGAACAATTTATATCAAAAGCTTATGTGTGAAATTATTGAAATATCTATTTTTGTATTAATTTTACAAGTTTAAACAATTTTGTTTCCATATTGCTATTGCTCTATGAAATAGTGCAAAAACAGCTAAATGCTGCTATGCGAAATATAAATGAAAATACAATGAACTAAAACAATGAGCACTTTTCTGCTTATTTTTAGGTTGAAATGAAAAAAGTATGCGCGCTTTTAGGTAATTTGGAGGGGGTTGATAAATATTTGACTGATTTTACTTCGAATAATCCATAGATGTTTGGAGATTTTCCCCATATTCCTTGGTCGTACTTTTAAATTCAGTACTTTTGTTGGTAAATTTTACTACTTTAATTTCATGAAGAAAATCGATTAAATGGACTAGTCCAAAATTGTAAATGGTTTGTACCCAGTTGTAATGATATGAAAAAATTAAGCATATTCTCTGTTAACTTCAGGAACAATTTTCTGGAGATTATGCTGCCTTCCCTTGTGAATGATGAAGCAAACAACAGTGAGAGACTGCAAGCATCGGGCATGTCAGGCTCCATGGAAGGTGAAGTTATTCTGCCTGATCTTGAAGAATCCATGGAGTCTGAGAGAGATCAACAAAGCTCTCTAGAAGCTGCTACAGATGCTGCAATTTCAGCAATTAGCAATGTGGCAGCTCGGGCAGCTGCCCAGGCTGCTTCAGCAACTGGTTCTAAGGTACAATCTGACACATCAAAGGCTTCAAATTCTGTTGGAGAAAAGTCTTCATGTGAAGCTGACGATGAAAGTGGTTCCAGTAGCAAAGACTTAACATTAGCCTGTGCTGGGTCAGGTGACAATGCTCTTATGTAAGTGCAATTTGCATAGTTTTGAAATTTGTTGTCTCCATTAAACTTGCCCATTGAGGCAGGGAAAAGACATTAGTTGATATTTTCTAGTAGTTTTCATTTCCTATGAATTAATATGGTTTATAATTACAGGAAGGAAGATTTAGATGTCCATCTGGAGAATATGCAAACAGACCTGGATTCTCTTAAGGAGCTTCTGAAAGGAGAAGGCTATGTGGATGCCAACATGTTGTTGGGGGTATGTGCAGCTGGACTAGGAATCGATGCCAATACCGTCAAGGTAGATTTTGCCAAAATCAGCTGTATCTTTTATTTCAAAACAGCATAAGCAAAATTATGTTAAAATATATTTTGTATTTACTTGCATGTAGGTAAAACTGTTTTGTTTGCTTTTGTACCTCTGAAATCTTCAAAGTCCCTCGAATTTCAAAGAGGAATTTAGATTTAGTAAATGAAGAGATCTTAAGAATTGCTGATTTAATCGTCAAAAGGCCTGGCGAAAATTTAAATGCATATAAAGTGTTTTCTGCAATGATTATTTTCATTACTTGTAACTTTGTAGTATTTCCTCTAGTAGATCAAATACCATTTATAATTCAGGCTATAAGTAGGTTTAACTCAAAATGTGAAAATGGAAACTTGCAAACTTGCGTATCATCTTGTAGAAATGGAAATGGAAGTTCAGAATACAATATAGTGTACATTTGGGAAGATTGTCATTCTGATTACTAATCAGTACATTTGGAACATGTCCTGAAGTAAAAAGAATGAATCTAATCTATCTAGCTGTTTTAACCTTAGAGCACTTGCGCTCTTGCAAAAAGTAAAACAAAGGAACAGTTTTCATATTTACATGAAATGTTTCGCTTCAGTAGTGAATTCCTTCTAGGTATTCATTTATTGATACTTAATTGTTATAGCAGTTGTGAAAGAGTAAAGGTGTGTCGGTTGTACATTCTACAACACATGAGTTCTGGTGTTAATTTTTCCAACTGCTCTTTTAAGTACAAAAAAGTGGGTAAATCTAGTTGCTAAATTTAGAAAAAATCTTCTAACATGTGGTGTAGCCAGAATCCATGTTTTGTGGGTCTTAGATACATTGATATTCCCCTATTGATTTGGCTGATTTAACGGCCCATTGAATTTGAAACCGATATTATAATTTTATTGGGTACTTTACATGAAGCCCCTGGGGCATTTTCAAAATTTTCAGAAAAATGGCTCCATTGTTTTTTATTAAATTTTTTTCTTGTGAAGAACCTTTCAGAGAATGATACAGGCCTAGTTTTGTTAAAAACTAATTTTTTAAAAATTGCAAAAATGCAAAATTTTGGAGAGATTTTTTCTTTAATGAAATCAGTGTTTTTAAGATAAATTTGGAAATAAGATCATGTATGAGTTTTCGAAACTTTGAATACTTTTTTTGTAATTTTGCATGAAAGTACAGTGAAAAAGTACGTGCTCTTTCAGCGCCACTAGCTTTTGCATATAGTAAGACTGTTTAAATTTAAATATATTTTTTCATGTTTATGTTCTCGTTATTCGAAGTTCTGCAAGACACTAAAAAAATGTTAATAGAATTAAAAAATAGTAATGCCAAAATTCTGGAAGTTGTAAAAAATACAATGCGTGGGTGTCCCAAAACAAAGCGCAAGTGCTCAAAGGTTAAAGGGGGAGTCAAAATGAAAAATCTAAAAATTTTGACTTTTTTGTATTTATTTAAATACTAGCAAAAGTTCTGCCCTTCATCTCTCTCTCTTTCCGCTGCTCTGTCTCTGCACCTCTCATTCACATTTAGTTGCGGATTATGCATGTCTCTAAATAGTGGGATAATATTGAGAAGCAGACCAGTAAAAATTTAATAGAAAGTTAAAGATCTCATATTGTAGATTACGGTGTGAGAAGCATTTCTTTGAGGCCTTTGGCCCAAAAATTTTATTTTTTAATGCCCTTGAATGCTTTGCTTAGGAGTTACTTAATGATACAGATTCAAAAAAAATCCTGCCATGTGTGTTGCTTTTGACATGAATATTTGAATTTATTGTACAGTGCCATGTGATTTTTTCTGATATCTTAATAGTTATTTTGCTATTCAGGGCAGAGATAGAGGCATAGTTGGTCATTTTTATACCTGCTCAAGCAACAATGGTGAAATTTTATGCAGTATACCGCATTATAAATCGTAAATGTACTGTAGTAGATTCATTGAGTAAGTGTACAAATGATTATATATCAAGATGAAGACAATTTTTTTGACATCTTTTTTATGGCTACAGCACATGTTAAAAATACTGAATTGTAATAATTATTAATCTTGAGGAAAAATAAGGAACATATGTAAACACATGGGCTGTACAGTGTTCATTGACTCTTCTAAATGTGTTTCAATATCTTGCCTTGGCAAGTTGGCAACAACATGTTTTTGCCACCTTTCAAGACAGCTGTGCCTCGCTCGTTGTGACAGCAGACCATCAGGTCATAAGCTGCAGCAACTTTCCTGTTTTGAGTTTCCCCATTCAAGAGCTTAGGTGGGCAGGTACGCGGCTCACACACCGGAAGATTCTCACGCTGCAAAGAAAGGGTGGGGTGGAGAGGGGCGAGCAGAGATATGAGCAAGAAACAGAACGGCTCTTATATTGAAGATATGGAAGCAAATTATAACTGTTTATCAATTTATTAACACCAATGTAACAATAATTATTATTAAATGAAAGATGCCACTTGAAACATTGCTGCAAAGCTCTTAATTATTTATAACTATAATAATTATTAAAATTATTATTGTTATTATTATTATTGAATCTGATTACTAAGCATTAATAAAATTATTAAAAATTCCAATAAAACATATATTAGTAGTAAAATAGTAAATTAATAGTTATTGAAAATAATTAATAAAAAACAATAAAATATAATTTCCTTAAAATGAAAAAAAAATTACAGTTGAATATATGCTCAAAGTGACAACCACAACACCAAAAGACAGGCGTTTACTTAAGTGTCTCAAAGACTTACACGCTGAATAGAAAAGTGATTGGAAAATTCTAGCCTGAGGAGTGTATTGAATTCATCTCTAAGAGATCTCTCCATTACTTGGGTGTATGATGGGCAATGCAGTTGAACAGAGGCACTTTGAATTTGCTATGGGTGTTCAAAAGTTGTGAAAGAAGAAAACAAGTTGCTTACATCATGTAAATGCAAAGTTCCCGTTGTTTTTGCTTTTATTTTGTTTTTTCTTCTCATTTCTCAAGTTTTCAGGATCATTTGCACATTCTCTTAACCAGCCTTAGTTGGCCTAATGTGCTGCTGCTTGGCAACCTTAGTGTATGTGGCTTTGGATACTCAGATACAACTGGTTTGGCACATGTTTCTACTGTTTTTGATCTGTTCTTTGCGTATTACATGATTGGTGATAACTTTAATTGCAGCTTTTTGGTGATGATCCTTTGTCATTTGGCTTACCTATTGTGCAAGATCAGAACAATGAAAATAATGGGAAGCAAAATGGTGTTTCAGGTAAGAAATGTTCCAATGTTTCTAGGTTATTATGCTTAAACAGAGAGTTGCAATCATGCTCCGCTCAACATTGCACATATTGTGTACTGTTCAGAGGTTACAGATAATTTCCATTGGTTTAATGTAGCAATTTTGCTGTTTTTACATCAAATTGCAGTGTTGAGAGGTATGTGCTGTATTTGATGGACATAGTATTTACAAATTCAGTTCAAATAGAAAGTTTGTTTATTTCCAACAGATCCTATGGTGTCTGGGAGTGAGCTAATGGCATGTTCATCAAATCTCCTGGATTTAGCAGATATGTCAGAATTAGATGACTGGAGCCTACCAGCAGGATCAGGGAGTTTCACTGAAGAGTCAGATGATGTATTGAACACTCCTTTGGTGACCATCAGTAGCCCTGGCTTTTCTGGAGCACCGACAGGAAAGAAGAGGAAAACAAAATAATGTAGCACAGTGCTCTCTGCTATAGTGATTGGACAGCTTGTATATACTGTATTATTTGAAACATGAAGTTTATTTTTCTCTTACTACACAAATCTCCATTGAACAGAATAGATGTGTAGTTCTGTAGGAGTGAGATATCATGGATTCTTCATGTACATACACAAATCATAGATTGAGATCTGATATTACATGGCAACTAATTATTATTGTGCATTCAGCATACAATGTTACTGCACTTAAGATATAACGTTGCACAGTATTTGGTTGGTGGGCAAGCAATTGTGAAGGGATTGGGGTGTGGGGGATCTGAAGCTTGCCAGTTCCCTGGCTCACAAGACTGACATTCTTAAAGTGTGTTTGTTTTCTTCAATTGTAATATATCAACAGAATGTAAAAAATGTATCATATGCAAATAGAGTGGAAAAAAATGTGAAAGTAGAATTTCCTATGTACAATTAAATTCTTTTTTTTACTTGCACACCTCAAACCTTAAACATAAAGTATTGTGCTTCAAAAGAGTTAAGTTCTTTAAATGAATATCATAAGCAGTGAATTAAATTTTTATTGATCATGCTTTTACTTTCATGTTTTCAATGCACAAGCAAATTGAAGTATGAATTAAAATTGCTCTTCATATCAGTGAAAGATGGCCAGTGTAAAATGTGCGTTACAAATTTGTAGAGTTATTTCAATAAAGCTGGTAACCAGTCAGCCTGTTTTCATTGCAATGTACAAGGTTTGAAACTAAAATTTAGTCTCTTATTAATGTTCATATTGAGCAAATTTAGGCACTTGCAATAGTTAAAAATCATGGTATCACTGACTTTCACTAGCTCTTGTCCCTATTAAGCACCACCATACGGATGAATACTCACTACTGTGAATTTTGCCTATGATGAATCTTAACAAAATCCTTATATAACCTAGAATACTGTATATTAAGGAACAGTTGATGCTTCACTACACCTATTCGTTTCTTGTAATCAAAATGGTAAATTTATTCACAAAATCAATAGTGTAATTGTATCACGTGTAGAAAACAATTGCTTGTTCGTATGATAAAATACCACACAAATGACTATCCGTTTTAGCCATGTGTGAAATAAATAAGCATTCTTTAGAATGGTCAATTTTTAAAGACTTAAAAGCTGTTTAGAAAAGCGATTGGAAAATTCTAGCCTCCAGAGTAAGTTTCTTATAAAGAAAAGCATCTATTTTGACATCCATCTTGCCTTAAAACATGGATTGGACTAATTATTTTAAAGATTTTGTATGTCGAATGTTTAGTTGTTCTTAGTCAAAGTTTGTGACTACGTTCTGGCCTTCAGCCCCAACAATGTATAGAATACAACCTGGAGCCTGCACAACAATTTAAAAACGCACCCAAATTCTTTCCTGAACAGTGTATTAACCTTTTGACTGCTACAGCTGTGATAGTCATGTAGTGTGCGCAATACATATGTCCAGTGTGTGCTGAGCCCAGCAGACTTTCAACACTGCAGATTATGTAGCAAATCCATGTTTAACACTGAAAACTTCCAACATCTTAACCACTAAAAGGCAAGTAACAAAAGAAAAGAAAACAAGTTAGGTAGAATCTAATGGGACTTCACAGGCCCCAGTGTTTTGCAGGATTGAGAAGTAATCCACAAAGGAAAGTATCAATTTTTTTTGTGAGGCAGTCACTGGGGAGAGTGACTTTCCTACACTTGTTAATCTCACTGTAATGATGCACATGGATTTTAAGAAACCAACTTGAGTCATTCCTATACGGAAGCCACTAAACTAGAGAATAAGCATTCGTGTTGTAGCAAAACCCCAAATGTGAGGCCATTGAACCAGAACACATGTACATCAAAACGTCCCATTGCATACACAAACATGTACAGAGGCCTTCAGGTGTGGAAATTTTCTGTGTGTCAACATGTGCAGAACAGTCAAAGGGTAAAGGGGGCAGGGCTGGACAGAAGCAAAACAAAACAAAGTGGACCCGTTGAATTTAATGCAGAAACTGACTTACAATGGAATTATCAAGGAAGCATACACTGCTTCTAAAGTTTCTCAAAGAATTTGATATACTTTCATCACTTGCAAATCAAACATCTCCCAAACTCTTCATACTCAAACTAACGTGGTTATTCTCACACTTTCAAGCATAATATTGTGTACTTGAAGAAATATTAAACACCAAAACTTGAAGCACACAAAATACAGATAGTTCAACCACATACATTCAAACTTTGGGACAAATAAGCCCCTTGTTCCCTTCTTTCATTATGTACTTGTGATCCATGATCCCATGACTTCAGGGTCAGTTAAAGGGACAAGATGGTATGGTAGTATATCACAGAAAGGTAGATCGCTAGTAAGAAATTATTCTCACTTTAGAGTACTTTTGTTATCTTGCACTATGTTTCTTCCAAGGAGGAGGTGGTGGTGCAGAACTACAGCCAAAGTTTTCTCCTATACTAGATTCAGTTTTTAAACCTACAGAATACAGAGTTCGAAGGGTTTCCAATTTCTTCTCCATCTCAAGAACTGTAGCTACAGTCATTTCTATACAACTGTTCACATTGAGGTACAGCAAACATTGGCAATGTTGGCCTATTGCAATCAAACTTGCATCTGTAAGCTGTCTGCAACCCTTCAATCAAAAAGTATTAAAATTCTTTATAGAACCTGCTACATGTAAACTTAATGATTTAGGCCCATAATATCCATAAACACTTACTTGAATGTCCAAATGTTTAAGCCTCTTTAGTCCTTTCACAACTGACAATATACCAGTATCAGTTATATTAAAACACGAATTCATAACAAGTGTTTTAAGACTGGGATTATTTTCTGACAGAGCAGCAAGCCCAATTGCTGTAATCTGGAAACAAACCCAAACATAAGAAACATGAATTCAGAAATGGATATTGTAATTGTGGAGGCTCAGAACAATAGATCAAAAGTACAACTTTTAATTTATTAATTTTTTTTTTAACTTTCTCACACTACATATTATATATAATGAAGAGGAAATACTGTAATGGTGCAGTAAAAAGTGGTGATTCTTCAACAGGAAAACTACTGTTGTGATGTGAAAATCTGTGTGGATATTTCTTGATCCTATATGTGCCTCTAGTATATTGTGTAGTCAGAATCTATGTTTTGTCGAACTCAAAGCCCAGTGAATTTGAAACTGATATTTTGAGTTTTGGAGGGACTTTACAAGAAGACTCAATAACATATTTAGTTACCCCATAATGGTCCCAATGTGTTCCTTATTCTTTTTTCTTGAATACAGCATTGTAACCTCATAAAAACGGGCCAGGTCTGAATTTCATTTATCTCAATTTCCAAAAATTGCTCAAAGTTCAAAATTTGTTCAGCGTGTTGCTATAATATTGATTGGATTTGGATCTTCCAAGTGAAATCTGTTCTTCAAAGTTGAATCTTAAAATAAGGTCATGTGCAAAGTTTTCAAAAATTGCAAATCACTTTTTTTTGGGGGGGGCTACTTCCAACAATTACAATATTGAAGATGCACATTTTTTCCCTTAATGAAATTATTTTCTCAACAGATCTTTAAATAAGGTAATGTACAGTTTTTTTTCTTTTTAATGACTGGTTTTGGTGAATTTTTGTGGGAAATTTACACAATTTATCAACAATTATTTTCTCAATAATTAATCAAAATATTTTCTTTAAATTTCTTTTTCAAATAGAACAACGTACACTTACAAAAATGAAAGCATGTGTGTAGTTTTAAGTTCCACAGAGTCAGCTGTGAATTTCAGTTTACACAATACATTCATTTCAAATTTGAATTAACCTTATACAGGGGCAAGAAAAATCCACTTATTTAAAAGATCATTAGTTTATAAGTTACTTTTTCTACAAAGGAGATACAAGGAAGTAAAATGATGGTATGATGCTGAATTTTTTGCATGGATAATATTGCTTCCATTATATCATAATGGTCTAAATGATTTTTAAATAAGTTAAAATACAGGGAGACTATTTGCTAGTTTCATTATTATGAACTTGTAAATGGGAATATAATCCTGTTACCTGCTGACATCGGCTCAGGTCTAAGTATTGGAGTGCAGGAAAATTAAAAGCGTACAACAAACCAACATCAGTGACACGATTACAACCTGAAAGATCAATTTTTTGCAGACCTAAAAATAACAATAAAATGTTAGTCTAAAAATGTAGGAAAACAGGAAAGTAATATTTCAAAATGTGTTAACTTTTGTACAGATAGAAAATCATAAGTTCATGTGAATTAATACCAAATGGTTTAATCTTTGAAAGTTGATTATCATAATTTTTCACCAAACAAAATACTGCACAGTAAAAATTTAACATAGTAACAAGTGATATACTAGTCGTATCTAACAATTTCAAATTGTTAATTCACACTCTCCTTATCACACTGTTAAAAAAAAACCATTTGAACTAATTGACAGCAAGAATTTCGCATTCTTTTAACACCAAAATAGTACTTTCACAATTCTTTATGTTTTTTACCTTGTATCCTCACTAGACACATTCCTTGAGACTCGTCGTTATAAGTGATCTTATGGAGAACTGCCTGCTTTCTTTTAGCATCATTAACAATTTCTTTCTCAGCACGAGATCTTAAATTGATTTTATGAAGAGGATCAGGATATTCATCAAAAGCTGACGATGCTTCCAAAGCAGAGTCAGAAATTGTTTCATTTGCAGTCATACCCGTAATTCCAGCATCACTTATCTTGTTGCAAGATGCTAATTCCAGAGTATTTAAAGACAGCAGGTATTCACAGATGACTTGCATAGATCTACATTACCCAAAGATAATGTCTGAATGTGATGACATGGAAGCTTTTTAATCCCATTTGGTTACAATTCATTGAAAATAATGTTTTACCTGTCAGTTACAGCACTGAAACACCAACTAAGATCCAAATGTCTCAAACATGGCAGATTTGTTGCTATTTTACATACTGATTCTTCATCCATCTGAAGTGCACCCAAGTGCAGGTTCTGCATTTGCCTATTAATTTTTTGGCACAATCCAGATGTGACACCTTGTCCAGTCACCATTTCACATTGTGATAAATTAATACACTTGAGTTTTTCTAGTCTAGCAAGCTCCGCAACTCCTATGTCTGTGACAGCCCTACAGTTTTGAATACTTAAAGAAGTCAAATTGACAAGATTATGACAAATTGCTATGAGTGCATGATCTGTTAGTCGTGAACAACCACTCAGATCTAAGCAAGTGAGAGATTTCTGGACACTTACGAGGTTGGTGAGACCAATGTTAGTTAACTGATTGCAAGACTCAAGGTATATAGCTTTCAGATTCAATCCATGTACACTTCCTAACTGTGATAAGGCAGAGTTATCTACAAGAGTCTGCCCCAACTTCAAGACTTTGATTTTCTGAGCTTGTTCTCTTATGAATTTTAGTATAACATTGAATGTAAAAACGGTTTCAGACAACACAAGGTTACTCTCATCAACCACATGAGGTGGATAAAATTTCTTGTAAAGTCCCATGTGATAAGATATTTGACATCCTGTTAAATCTAATTCATGAAGATTTGGAGCTGTAGAAACAAAACGATAAAAAATGGCATCAGACATATATCTATTATGAGTAATGCTCAATCCTTTCAAATTTACAAGTGCTTTTCTTAGTTTCAAAACATCTAATTCTAATTCTAACACACGACCAGTCATCATCAGTTCATGGCAATCATTTATCATTAAGTTTTCCAAATGACAACAACTGGACAAAATTTCTACAAACATTCTTTCTGTTACTACACAACTTTCCAAGTAAAGATATTTCATTTTGGGGCAGTACTTTTCCCAAAAGGGAATTAATTTAGCATCCAATTCCACATCTCTGAAATAAAAATTTTGAAAACTAGTTGTGCTATTTAGAAGACATCCTAATTGTCGAGTTATGTTTTCTTGAAGTACTACTATTTCTTCCTTGTGCAGTTTTTGATCTTGTGATGCTTCATACCAAGCTCGACAAACTTGACTGGCTATTATTCGGTCACTTAGTGGTAAGTATTCCATTATATATATCAAAATCTACAATGCAAGAAATCAGAGCAGTTAAATTATTTAGTGTTACAGGTAACAAAAATTCCATAATTTAAACTAATATTATTTTTCACGCAAAAGTACCTCGATTGGCAAGTCGATCTGAGATTGATTGTTTGCATTTCCTGGTGCACTGAGATTTGATTCTGCCATTGCAATGCACTGTCACCAAAGTGACATAAACACATAACCCACGAGCTGATACCATTCAATAGTTGCCGATATACGTCAACATCTTCACTGCTACGTTCCACTTTCTATATTAAGGACCAACAAGGTAGGTGGTTCCCAAAGCTGCTCCCAAAAGAATATTTGTCCTTGGTAGATACCGTCTCACATGATCTGCACCTGCACTATGATGTAAGAAATCGTTTCTTACACCATGATCCGAATATGATGTTTCGTTCAGATCAGTGAACGATTATTTTGACAGATTCTAAAACATTTTAGCATTGTATTAGACCGCATCACTTTGCGAAATTTCTCTCCGATCATATGGAGTGCAAGCTAGAAATGTCCCGTGTCACGAGTCGTGTGACAGTTCAGGGAGTGCAGTTGGAGGTTAGGGAGTTTTCACAAGGGATCTAATTTGTACCGATATTATCACTAAATATATTTTAAAAATTGATACAACAGAATATGAGAATATTAATAATAATAATATAAACTCTGGGATCAAGAAATTCCAACTGAGGCTACGCACGTTGGAAGGTAAACGGACATTCCATACGTTCGCTGAATATCAAGGAGCCTGCGAAGTTCTTTCCTGGTTCTTTCACCGCACTTTCGCAATACCAACCCTTAATCAAAGAAGAATCAGCTTAGAAATATTTTGGTTAAAGTAGGGTACACGCGGTACGCCCTCAGAGAAGCGTGGCGGCGGAGTCTTCTTAAGCCCTCGCTCAAATTACACTATGCGCTTTGATAGAAATTAATAAATCTTACGGATAGGCGATTTTTATGTCTCGCCCTTCATACGATTTGTTCCCGGCGCATTATAATGCCAATTTACTTTTAAAGGCAAGTTTTCTTTTTCTCGTTTCGCTCGCCCGGATCCAAGTCTCGGCGAGGCTCGGGCCGCTCGGCCCAGAGAGGCTCGGCCCTCGCTGGTCCTCGCGTTCACTATAAACATCCTTGAGCCTATCCACCGCATAACTACCAATTCACTTTTATAAGAAGGCACTTTTCAAGAAAACTTCCAAAATTCCAACTGCGCAGTAATAGTCGGAGCGGCGCGAAGTGCCGGTTTAAACGACTTCCGTAAGTTGTACCGTATACTAGACTCGCGCCAATATTTTTAAATAAAAGGGTTAGTGTATTTTCGGCCTTCTGTAGAAAAATACATTGGTATCATACCAACATGTTCCAGTTACCGGAATGACAAAAATAATAGGGAGATGTCATCTTGCGCTGGGGCTGTAGTTCCTATGAGTGAAATATGTTGGAATATTTTCTGTATGTTACTTACAGACCTCTCACACACAAGCACACCAACATGATTTGAGGAAAAGGATCAAAATAATCGCTGAGGGGTTACCAGGAGATGCACCGTATAGTAAAATACGTCATTATACGTGTATTACATTTCTTACCTCATGTTTATCCAACCAGCAACTACTGCTATCTCTCATCGGGTATATAAACTACATACGTAAATAAATAGTTTCCCGTCTAGATGTCGATAGCAATCACCCAAAGCAGTCTTTGTATTTCTGATTTCTCCGTGATAGTACTTCTAGCTCGTTCAAAATAGATCTTGGGATATGTAAATAGTACTCCCATAAATGTATTTCTGGCGGAATTTAAATACCTTTCCTAGGCAATAGTTTTTTTTTCGTGGCTATAAATATATTTTTGAAATGTCTTAGTTACAAAAACAATGTTGTTCTGCATAAATTACAGATTAAGTATAATTAATCTTGCAGAATAATTTATTTATGAAAACAACTTTGAAAAAACCCTTTTAATAAAATTGTATGAAAACTTGTGTTTTCACAGTGATTTAGTTTTTCAATTTAAAATTTATTTTAAGTATACATTTCCTTTTATACCTATGTTATTTAAAGCCAATATTCATCTTTCTTCACGTAGATCCATTTTAAAATCCACAAGGCTAATGCAGTACAAAAATGTAAGGAATTATTTAATCGAGTTGAAGAAATCCATATTTTCACAGATGGCTTCAAATGAATAGAAAACGAAGTTTCGCACGTCGGTTTTGCTATTTCTAGTGATAATGAATTCTGTACTAAATCACTTAATATTCCTGATATTGCTTCTATTTTTCAGATAGTTTTCTAGCAATTATATACACTCTTGTTATAATAAATCAAAATGATGATGATCTTAACTGCCAGATCTTTACTGATTCGCAACACGTTCTGAAGTCATTGGAAGGTCATGTACTCATGGTTGTAGTGGTTTTGGAGAGGAAAACCCTCATATTACTCAATTGAAAGCCAAAATTATTATGTCTAAAAATTTGGGCAAAAATATTACATTTATTTGGATTTCTTCATGTAAAGGTTAGATAGGCAATGAAATTGCTGACTCAAAGGCTGCACTAAAGAGACTGCAAGAATTGATAACATCCCGTCATCTAATTTAATTTGGAAGTATAAATTGAATGTAATGAAGAAAATACATTGAAGTTAATTTCATTGGATAAAATTAAAGGAAAACATTGTTTTAATTACTTTTTAATAATTATGAGAAGTCTTTGTTTTACCTGTTTGATATTCCAAGTAAAGTTGTTGTCACTATTAATCACACTAAGCAATGATTTGTCTCTTAACAGCAGTTTACATAGCCATCAAATGTTAGAAGTAAAATTTGTGAATGTGGTCTGAATCTTTGAGCATGTATTTTGGCAATGCAATTTTTTTAATAATGAAAAGAAAGATATGTTATTCAGATTGAACAAATTTAATAAGTATGATCCATATTCTATTTGTTCATTGCTATCAGTTTTAGACAAAACTTTTATCTCAGTTATTGTGAATTTTATTTTAAAACTTAACAAAAAAATTTATATCATTATTTATATGAAAAAAAAAAAAAACATTTGGAGTGGTTTTTGAGTTGTTTTTTTGTTGTAAATTTCAAACGCAAAATATGCAAATACTACTAGCTTTTTAAAAAAAATTGTACATGGCCTTTTTTGAAGAGCTAATTTTGTACAACAGACTGTCTAAGGCAAAAATCTCAACTTCAATTTTGTTGTTTAATTCTTTTCTTTTTAATTTTCAAAAAACCGAGCGATACCCAAAAATGTATATAGCACCATATATTTTACGGTCTCTTATTACACAACTGAAGGATATTTAAAGCAAAAATTTGGAGCGATTTTTGAGAAGAAAAATCGTACATTTCAATCGCAAATAAAACGAATGATTTTTCAAAACAAAACAAAAAATGTACAACACTTTTTTAATGAACTAATTTTGTGCAATAGACTTTGTCCAAGACAAAAATCTCCATCTCTAATTTTGAAGTTTTTATTTATTTTTACAGATTTCGAAAAATCTGCAGTGTCAACGAAAATGATACCTGCACAATTCTCTTAAATGTCCTTTGCACTATTCAACAACAAAATTTAATTAAAAAAATTGGAGCTATTTTGTTGACAATTTTGAAAATGTCCGAGGGGCGTCATGTAAAGTACTCCTCAAAATTAAAATATCGCTTACCCGCGAGGTCGCGAAATCCAGGCCGCGTACCCCGAAACTACAACGATTGGAGAATATTAATTTTGGAGAAAATCGTCTGAATGGTGTATGTGCTAGCGTTATTCACAGACGGACAGACAAGCGTTTTGCTGTCAATACGGTACGGGGTAAGGGTATTTCGGTTCGGTAAGTGTCCGTCTGTGATAAATTGCTAAATCCTTAACCAGCTGATTTTCTCCAAAATTGATATTCGCCAATCAATCTGGCTGATGTCGCGGCCTCTTGAATTTGAAACTGATATTTTAATTTTGAGTGGTCCTTGAAGCCGCTGAAATATTTTCATTTTTTTTAAAAAATGGGTCCAATTTTTTTATTAAATTTTGTTGTCGGGTAGCATAAAGAATGCTTAAGAGAATTGCGCAAGTCTCATTTTCGATGAAATACAAGATTTTTGAGAAAATTGCAATAGTCCAACATTTTTTCGACGTCTTTCTACATTTAAAATATTGAATAGAGACATTTTTATTCCGTAAATTAAATCTGCTTTTTAAAGGCAGATTTTGAAATGAGTACATGTAATTTGAAATAAAGACAGATTTTGCAATAAGGGTATCTTAGATTTAGATTTATTTAGTCAAAAAACAGAAAAAAACTATGTGACGTATGGGAGAGAAGATCATCTGCGCACGTTTTCTTGAGTTCCAGAATTCTTTCTCGTCATTTTAACTATAAATATTTGAACGACGAGTAAAAGTTTAAAATAAATAAATACAAATAAATTTTAAAAAAGAGGGAGATTAGCAATATTTGAAAAAAATAGACATTTTCGTTTCCGAGTTACAGAAAACTTTTTTGCATCGGTAAACGAATTGCAAGTATGATTTTTCTGCATTGCTAACAAAATAGTAACTCGCCCTTACTTCTACTCCTACCATTACAAGCAAAAGGAGAGTTTAACAAAACGTGCGCATAGTGAAGCTACATTTATTCTTCATCTCTTCTCCAATTGTTCGAAAATTTGAGTAGATTTCGCGTAATCTTGCGTGAAATATAGGCAATTTTTACTTTTTTAAACAATTTTTCTCAAAAACGGCCCCAAATTTAGATTTACTTTTAATAAAATTCTATGTTGTCTTCTATAGTAGTATTTTTGTTAAGAACAGATCCCGTTAAAATTTTAGACAGCAGATTTTTTTTCAATTATTTTCTTTCTTATCAATTCAAATTTAATTGTACGTTTATGTTTTTCCAGTCTTCAAAGACGTTTCGAGAGCTTTGGAAAGATCGGGAAACAACAGTTATCGAAACGTCCTTTTTATTATATTTTGAAATCGGATAGCGTAAAGGACGCATGCAAGAATGGCCCAGGTCCCATTTTCGTTAAAATTCCTGATTTTTTTAATTTGCAAAAATTCAGTTTTTTTCGGCATCCTCCTGCAACTACAATGAAAATAGTTTTTTTCATGAAATATATTCATGAAAAACATCTTCAAATAAGGGGAAGTTCAATTTTTGGAATATATAAGTATTTTTACGTAATTTTGCTTGAAACATTTTTCACACAAATTTTGCTTGAGTGCGATTTTTTAATTTTAAACAATAACTTGCTAAGACACGGCTCTATTTTTCACGTATGTATAAAATATCGGTAAAGAAAGAGACGCTAGTCCCATTTTGATGCACTCTTTGTATTTTGGAAAATTGAAAAAAAAAAAAAAAATAATAATAATCGAAATGGTAAATTCGATTTTTCCACGCTTTGTTTACGGCGCTGTCAGTCGGTGAAAGTAATTAGAGAAACGACCAATGAGATATAGTCAACAAATACGCTGTAGGCGTTTTTCTTTAAATTTCTTTTAAGAATGGAGTAACGTACACTTATAATGATGGCATCGGTCCGATTTTCTTCTCCATAGTTTTTTCATTAAGGTCATGTGCATTTTTTAAAAAAATAGTAGTTTTCCCACAATATTGCCAGCAATATGTAAAAATTTTTAAAAAATTATAAAAACAAGATTTTAACAAAAACTGTTCCAAATTTCTTCTTTAAACTTTTGGTAGCAATAGTGAAAAATGCACTCCATTTGATGATATAAACGCCATTATTTCTCTATTCTTTTGTTTTTTTCAAAAAATAAATTATTAAAATGTAACTTGTATGACTTGTCTATCAGATTGTTAATATTTACATTTGCGGTGATTTGTTCAAATTATTGTATTAACTAGTACATGTGCTTTAAATAATGTCAGATAAACTTTCTAAAAACTCAACCGTTTTCTATGAAAACCAGCTCAAAATTCCAGAAACGCTCAAACATATTTTTTTCAAAAACATACCCAACTTTTTTCTTCAAAGTTTTCAAACCCATTGTGCTAATTGCACTCTTAAGTATAATGTTAAGTTCATTTCGGGGTATTTTTTTCCACAAATTACGCAAATGTATTTTTTTTAAAGATCTCTCACACCGTTAATATGTATATTTCCAGCAATTTGTAAAGACTTGTATTTGTAAGTTAATATACACCAAATGACTTCGAATGAAGT